AATACTTCTACGAAATATGGAACACGTTGCTGAGCCATGGTACCGATGAGAAAAATATGCCGGGATATCTACAGCTCCTTGCGTTGCTCTCTATCCACGTCTTCAAGCGCGAAATGGTAGACGTGGCGATATATGAGGTCCACGCGGGTGGAAGAAAGGATGCGACAAACGTGTTCGATCACACTGTTGTGTGTGGCTTTACAACCATCGGCCTAGATCATACAGACTTCCTCGGGCCAACAATTAAAGATATCGCCTGGCATAAGAGCGGTATCATGAAGCCCGCAGCCCCTGCATTTTCAGTGGCCCAAGAGCCAGTCGCAAGGGATGTACTTGAGAAAGAGGCCTCGCGGCTGGGTTGTCCTATCAAGTTTGTTGAGATTTGCGAAGCCGTGCCCGAACATTCCAATCTACGACTCAGGGCCCAGAAGACGAACGCCTCACTGGCTATTTGGCTGGCAAAAACGTATCTCAGCTGGAGTAAGGATGAGCTAAGCGTAAGGGATATCCACGTCGGACTGACGCAATGCAATTGGCCCGGGCGATTTCACGTCATAGAGCAAGACAAAAGCCGTTGGTTCTTGGACTGTGCGCACAATTCATTGAGTCTTCCTGTTACGTTGGAATGGTTTGAGTCCGAAGCTCGCCCACCGACCAGATCTCAGCAAAATTATGAAGGCTGTTCTCGAATCCTCATATTTGGCCATGAGTCTAAGCGCAATTCGCGTGACTTAATTAAGCTCATTGTTCGGTACTGCAAGGATCACGAGTTTGCTTTTAACAGTGTCATCTTGGCGCCATATGAGCGCTACGGTATGTTGACCTCCACTCCTCCGCATTGTTTCCTAATTCTAAATCCAATGCAGGGTCGACGGTGCACGATGCAGCGGCCGAGGAGCATGCAGCCTTTTGGCGGGAGATTCAAGGGTTGACACCCGTTTCTTCCGTCCCCTCTTTAGCGGATGCTCTTGTAACAGCAAAACAGCAGAGCACGCGAGACGGTGTGCTGACCTTGATAACTGGTTCCACACATCTCGTCGGGCAAGCATTAGGCTTATTGCAAGAGGGCAGGTAAGACAGCAGAGAAATAGATTAAATAAATAGACCCAGGGTCTAGTCCAACGCCCGACTCCCGTGGCGAAACCTCATCACATTGCTAACATAATCTGGCCAAACTGAGCCCAGACCGGTGAAGTGGTATTGGCGCCCGGTTGTCTGGTATAGCTGTAGCGCCTTTTGCAGCAGGTATTCGCTCTCATGAGTGTTTCCAAGCCTGCACATCAACTCGCACTTCGAATACATGACAATCATATCAGAATACCCTTCCGACCACCCGCAGTCACGCGAAGCCGCCTGCGCTTCATCCCAGCGGGCGAGGGCGAGAATCGGGGATCCTTGCAGATGCTCGAGGATGGCGAGCGCAGCTAAGATCCTGAAACGATTGATCTTTCCTACTTTCCTTAGTTTATCGGTATTCTTGAATTTCTCCTCGAGACTCTCCAAGATCCGTCGGGCCTGTTTTATTGACTCGGTGATTTCCCGCAACTCGCTCCCCAACCCATGGATGGAGTCCAACCTGATGGCTTTGAAGAGATGAGCATCTGCCAGACCCAGCTGCAGGCGTTTCGCATTCCGACTATCCATTATGCTACCCGCCATTTCCAACGCCTTAAGCTCATTGGTGAGAGTCTCAATAACAGGATCGAAGTTGCCCAGTTCGCAGGACACCGCGCCGAGTTGCGTGGTGACCTTTGGGGGCGTTGGTACTTGGCCCAGCAACTGCATGAAACGGTCTCTAGCCTCCCGGAAGTTCCCTTCGTATCGAAGAATCTCGCCCCGGATTAAAGTTATGTCATTCATCACGATCTGCTCGAGCGTCGAGATCTCTTCAGAATCCCATGGCATAAATGCTTCCAGCACAGAAAACGCATGACGGTGTCTCTGAAGATCAACCAGGACACGTGCCTGAAGCAGTAGTATCTCTCCCAGATCAGCGTTCGACCGCTTGTCAACTGGTCGAAATTCGGAAGATAGTTCGCCTAGCTGGTTGATCTGTTGTTCCGGGGTTGCCTTATTGCATATGCGAGATAGTGCTACCCTTCTCAGCTTGATCCTTGCAAGGCTTTGGTCTTGAGGCTTTAGGAGTCTTGAGGCCGTGTCAAGGACTTTCTTCTTCCAATCAACCTCCAGAAAATACGAGGCCGACAAAAGCATGTTGACAATTCGGGCCACATGGAAAGAATCAAGCTTGTTACACACGGTTTCTTCATCCAGATACGGCAGCACATGTTGAAGTTGAGGAATAATGGCCTCCACAAGTGAGGTATAACTACGAAAGTTGAATCAGTTTTACCGTCTGTGGAGGACCAATCACGTTCACTTACTAGAGAGGATCAAGCTGTCGGTGCTCGGGGAAGGTGTGGAGAACAACCCTCAAGGCTTCGAATTTCCAGGTATCAATGTCTTTCGTTCGGGACTTTTTGACAATCGAGTACGACGATAGGCCAGATTTTGCGATCACGGAAGCTTGCTCAAGACGCAGAAGGGCAGTTTCGGTTCTAGACCTATCTGAAAGAACCGGAATGACACTTGGTTCCTGGAGCTGTATCTCGCCATTGCTCCCCCAAATTCGCTTCTTAGCACTTGCTCGGTCGAGAAGCTTGTCCGTGATGTTGGCTCCATCCAGGAACGAAATGACCAGTGTGAGATGTTGCGAGTCATCATCAAGTTTCCCGGCCGGGTCTCGTTTCCTGTGAGCTCTTCCGGGACACGTATGTTTTATCTTGTAGGTAATGTTGCAACGAGTACACTTCAGCCTGCTTGGAGCCCGATATAGGCTGAAGACCCGCACTTCTGGGTAGCTTGCGCGAAACGGCTGACGGCGAACCATTGGCGACGGTCAGGAGCCGGAGAAAGAGAGCCTTGTCAAGTCAACAAACTTGAAGTAGCGAGAATTGGACTTTTGATCTTTTGATCGATTTTCCGACGCTGTTCGGCTTACTCCGTCCGTAGCTGCTTTAGAATGTGGGTTAGTCATGGATTCCAGAAGGGAGTGGCTAATTCAGCTTTAATTGGCTGCCCGAACTTACCTACTTTCTTTCGTGAATTGTCTATGATCTACCCTGGACAGGGTAGGCCCTGATGTAGCCTAGATAGGAAGTATATATCTTCGCAATGCATAAGGCCTTGCTGCATACCCTGGTCAGCATCAGCCCCGACCGGCCAATCTACGTGTGGCAGGCATGATCGCGGGGAAGACGACGACGTGTCTACGGGCAACCCCACTCGGATGAATCATTTGTGGAGGCTGAGTAACTCCCTGCGCACGCTAGACAAGGGGCTGTTTTGGACCTCCTTGAAGCCGGCTGTTCTTGCCCAATCGCGAATCCTTTGAGCCATGGGTGACCAAAATCGACCACACCTCACGAAAAGTTTCTGGAAACTGCCCCCACTCTATGTGATCACTCAACTTCTCATCTGCCTGGATGGTAACCTTCCGGGTGTAGCGGAAAACCCACCGTGCCGGAGATACTTAGACTGATCAATATCTTATATCCTGCTCCGTTCCTTTATAAAGCTATAGTTGATATTTATGTATTTTCCGGTCTCTGCTTAAAGTGATTCCGATGATAAAAATACGTATAACTTAATTAGCTATCTCCTCAGTAGGGTTGTTAATATACCGTTACCGATTTTCCCGGAGGGCCTGTAACTACATACGTACAGGGAATCGAAAAATCGTTACTGTATTGCCAATTATTAGTCATGGCCGAGCTTGTATGGAAAATCCATGGGGTTTTCAGACAAAATATTTGGCAATCTAAAGTTATCAGTGATATTTTTGGTGATTTTCTTGCTGGCATGTGATTTAAGCACCAAGCCTCATATTGGCTCAGCCACTACAAGCCACACCTGCTTTAGAAATTTCTGTTAGGCTCCTAAAGCTGTGACCCTTCCCAAATTCACTGAACCGTTAGACGTCGAACCATTACCGCACGATCCTATGGCAAATTTCTACTATCCCGCTCCATCTGCTCCCCGTACTCGTCGAATCCAGCTGCCAAACGTCGAGATAATCCCAGCTTCCTATCACGAAGACCTGTCATTCCTCTGTATCGGAGCGCAAGAGCCTAGTTCACGTTCGTTATATCTTGATTTCCGTTCGGAACCTTCGCAATGGCGGATCAAAGTTACGTTCAAAGGGACCCTTCTCGGCACTGAGGAAACTCCTAGCCCTGGCAGACTTCAAAGGGAACTGATTTTGTTGCTGGAAAGGGTCGCGGTCTTATTATGCTCTTGCAGTATGATTCCCAGAACAATCTTATCTACCCTCACTCACATATCCTAGCAGCCTCCCAGGATTAGGAAAGACGCTAACAGCTGAAGCTGTTACTGAACATCTTAGAAGACCCCTCTATTCGGTGTGTAACCTCTTCTCGTTTCACTAAAAGCTTTCTGACTCTCAAGATCTCCACTGGTGAATTAAGCACCAAAGCAGGGGTGCTAGAAGAGCAGCTCTCAGACATCTTTGGAATGCAGTTCTTCTTCTAGATAAAGCAGATGTCTGTCTGGAGCGACGTTCATCCCACGACCTATGTCGTAACAGTCTCGTCACTGTATTTCTCCGCAAACTGGAATATCTGAACGGAATCATGTTCTTGACGACCAACCGAGTATCCGAATTTGACGAGGCGATTCTTACCCGAATCCATCTCATGCTGAGATACGATGAGTTGAGCACCGACGCAAGGAAGCAGATCTGGGGCCATTTTCTTTCTAGGTCGCGCACCTCTTATGGAGCCCCAGATATCCATGATCGGGAATTGGAACGGTTGGTTAGCAGTAAGCTCAATGGGCGGCAGGTAGGGTGCCTTTGTTGCTAGCGAAACCGGCTTCCCCTCGACTGCGGTTCCCACAAAGTTTACTCGGCTCTGCGAACAGGGGTCTTAAAGCCCCACCTTACACATTCAGTAAAGCGTCGATCTATGGAGCACGTGCTCAAACTCGCCAATACCGAGCTTCTGTTCATGTACATATTGATACCGTATGCGTCGCATTTTCCCTTCGGCGGCTGGTCAGAGAGGCCCGTGCACTCACGACCTCAACAACAAGCCACATGAGGCTGGAATGCTTGCATGGGTCACGTGTCAGTCAGCTGGCTGAGCGCGCAGAGCGAGCTGAACGACGGCAGGCGACAACACGCCTCATCGCCAGCATGCCGCAGTCGGCGTCCTCAATGGCTTCGAGACATCCGTCATGTGCTGTGTCGCTGGACTCCCTCGACAGCAAAGCCAGTTCCTTCCTAACACGATGCGACGACTCCTCAGCCCATGCCGATCGAACAGCAAAGCGAAGGTACAGTCTCCAAGGCCACTCTCTCCTCCGTCCAATCTGACTCCTAAAGCAGGCTCCTACACAGTCATCCACATCCTCACCACCGGCCGAGTTAGCATCCGATATTCCTCAAGGCTTGAAGGTGGTAGCTGAAGGCATCGATCCAATCGTCGAGTACGTGTACTTCCCTGGTATGACATACCTCGCTCAGCAGCTTAAGCGATTCGAGCATCGTCACCGTCCATGGCCTGAACGGACACCGCGACAAGACCTGGATGGCAAGCAATGGCGTCAACTGACTCCGCAACCTCCTACCCCAAGACCTCCCAAACGCGCGCATAATTACTTGGGGCTATGATACGAACACGCACAGCCGATCTCGCGTGAGCTGCCAGTACCTCTACTACCATGCGAATCTCTAGTGTCTGACCTGTGCTTAGGAAGACGGATAACAAAGGTACTGAATAGACGAAGTACATCATTACAACAACTGAGAGATTCGGAACGGTTGGGATGGCGACATTGGAACTCTCTCTGATATTCGGAGAGTCCAAAGTGTGTCTCCACGTGCTTCTTCAAGACGTCTTTTCGCGGTTTGTGGCGCATCCTCCATTCGTACGAGAACTCCTCATTCCCTATACAAATGAGGCATACTAGGCGGGGGAGCACCATCGGGTATAGCTGCCGAGACTGAACCTCCACAATTTCTCTGATATCCATCGAGCATTTAATCTTCGCTGCGACAGAAGCATCAAAATTCAGCTCTTGTCTAGGTTAAGGCGGAGATCTTGTAGCCGGCGAGGGGCTTTTTGTGCAGAGAAGGGATCGCGAGCTTTCTCGATACGGTACTGAGCAGCAGTTGCAAATATATTCCTATTCTCCCGGAAGCCTCTCGGTTTAGTTTGTGTAGTCCGAGTTGTCAAGGCGGGAATAGCTAGGGCCGGAGCTCTGGCGGCGGTGATTGCCGGAAAAGGACTGCTGGTGAGAGCTGGGACCCGATTTCGTGGAGTGCTAAGCCCAACTCCATTGTAGTACTTGACAAGCATCTGTGCCGCAGAAGCACGCTCCTTCGGGTTGACGGCTGCCATTTCCTGAATCTTTGAAACAGTGTCGACATTTGAGGCTGCATGTAAAACCGCCTCCTGGGCATCCTCAACGGACTTAAACTGATTCGACCTCTGACGAAACCTTCCTGCATCCAACGTCCACAACATCGTGACGAAGAGTGACCAAACATCTAACTTGGACGTCTGACCCCCTTTCCGGAACATCTCAGGGGCCATATACATGCGGCTACCGGCAAAGGTTGCGGCATCCACAACGCGGTTGCAGAGACCAAAATCTCCGAGCTGGAATTGATATTGACCGCCCGGTTGCGATACGTAGAGAATGTTCTCTGGCTTCACATCTCGATGAACGATGCCGTTGTATGCAAGACAGTCAAGTGCTTGAAGCATTTGCGGGAAGACGGAGTCCGCAACAAGCGTGGGAAGGCCGCCACCACTCTCGACCAATGACTTCAAGGTCCCTTCTTTTAGACCCATAAATATCTCCACGTCTTGTCCATCCCAGCCTTGTGACGCGATATAATCAACGATGTGTGGCTGGCATTTATATCAGTTCATAAGTATAAGAGGATTGAAGAGGTCTTACTTACGTGGCTGATATTAGAAAGAGTTTCCACTTCACGCTTCAGTGTATGATGCAATTCTTCTCTCCAGTCTTCCTGTAAATTTCCTGGACGTGTCAATACTTTGACAGCCATGAACTTCCCTGAGTCCACGTCGATGCATTTGTGTACGATCCCAAATTGCCCCGATCCGAGCGGAGGTCCTACGTTCTTGTATCTCATCCTCAGCTTCCGCTCTCCCGGCGTGTGGATTCTCGTCATCCTTTGAGATGGTAAGACGGTTGGCGCCTCATCCACCGTTCGAGCGAGGCGTGGGTTCTCCTCCGCGCCGCAAGGTATGCCTTCTTGGCTCTTGACCTTCTCCACCGTGTCAATAGGACCTTGATGCCATATCAACTCGAACCGAACGAGGTCGCACCCTACACCGCCCATTCCGATTATAGTGTTGAGCCCCTTCTGCACGACAACTCGACGGAGGCGTCCATGCTCGAACGGCGTGGCATTATCACCAGAGACTTGGGTCGTTTGAGCGTTCGACCTGTCGTAGAGCATAACAACTCTAGAATCTAGGTCGATCTCGAAGGAGCACTGCACCCTTCCGATGCTGGATCCTTCTACTATGATGTCGGTGTCATTACGTCCAAGTGTTGCAAGAGTATTGCGCGACTGCGAGCGGATGTTGAAACCAACGTCGAGAGCAAGTGTACCGTCGGGTAACGTTGAGTGGAGGTAGATGTTGCTGGGATGGGCGACGACATCGTGGGCTCGGGGGTTATGAGGTTTGAGGGAAAACAAGGCAAGAGGGTGAGGTTCAGGACGAGGCATACTAAGCAAAGAATAGAGCAAATTCTAAAATGTGGAACGCGAATAGATGAAAGCTAGAAAGAGGACCAAAAGTATATGGTACAGACAAACACAAGGCGGATTAGAACGGAATGATTTGTCTGGTAAAGTCCCAGCCATCTGTCTTGAGTATATGAGCGAGGCGTTTCATGGTCGGTCATTCGATGCGAGCGGAGTGGTCGAGAATTATTGGATGAAAATACAGTAAATGTGCAGCCAATACTCTAGGCGGATTTGTCAATTGGTGTGTGGCATCAATCGGATATCCCGCGTCTCTGGTTGAGGGGCCAGCGGCATTGTGAGTCATTCGTCACCCTGCAGCCAAGCGCCAGTACTAAAATAGATTCCAACACGCCACCAATGTGACCACTCCGCCTACTACGGAGGTGCGCAAAAGTAAGGGCCGTGCCAAGAAGCGGTGAGGTCCGGCAGAATCTGAGGAACACCAAAACTCCTAGGATCGCCAACTTCCAGCCACGATTGTACTCTGATCAAGTTCAAATGTAATAAAATTTACATTAATCGAAAGCTGACGTTAAGGCAAAAATTATTATCAACCTTTTGTTTTGATAAAAGCCGGTGTTTAAGGGTGTCTCAGGCGTAGTGCACGACCCGGCCTTGGCAATGATTACGTGAGCGATCCTTACTTTTGCAAAGCACCCCGGTACTGCGACCGCCTCTCGCACTTAACGCAACGTTGAAAATCGGCGATTTCATCTTTCAAACAACCTCCCGTCCACGATCCTCAGACTTGCATCAGCCAAAGCTAGTGTTTACCTTCTCTTCACTAACACATCTTTCATTCACGCAGACTCCCACTATATCGCGACCTTTACCCATCTATGACTGGATTTGCCGACACTCTTCGAGGTGATGGGTTGGCGAGGGTTCATAGAGCTCTAGATGGGCTGGAGGCGGATCCATTAGGACTCGATCGTGCAAGAACGCGGTTTAGCCAGCCTCCACCATCATATACATCGAACCCATCGGGCACCACAACTCGATCTGTGAGTCCTGAGCCTCCCAGAAACGAACAGCGACGTAGGGAGCAGCGGGAGCAAAGATTCCAGCGACGGCGGAAGCTTATGGATGAGCGCGCTGCCTCACTTCCTCTCGAACAATTCCTAGCCCAGGTAGATGAAGAGACGAGACGGATTTGGAATGCAAATCCACGCACGAGTTTGATGAGTGAGAGCAAAATACCTATCGGAGGTACCGAAGAGAAAGAGGCTACCGAAACGATCAAGAAGCGCTGGGTCCAGCAAGGTATCTGGAAGGACAAGTGGGATGAAATGGCTGCTGGACGGTATATGAATGTTGGGAAGTGGAAGCATGAAGAACCGCTGGAGCTGGAGTCTGAATCGGAGACGGACACAGAAGCAGAATCCCCACCTCCAACTTTCAGTATTTTTGGTGTACCTCAAAAGCAGCCGCAGCCGAAACCGAGACGGCCTAAGAGCAATGACGAGAAGCAACGGGTTGCAGAGCGACGAGCCGTACGGGAGCGTGAACGCGAGGCCTCTCGTCCATATCATCAGTTCGTCTATCAGATATCGAAGGAGCGCGAACGAATCCAAGACGAATCCGCCAATGGGGAAGGGACCGACGCTGCCGACATCGACTCGAGGGCGTACGAGAATGTCAAGAACACCTGGACAAAGCGAGGGATTTGGAACGGAAAATGGGGTATACTACCTGGGATGTCGTGGAAGCATGAATGGCCTCTTGAGGAGGAAGCCGCCGACGATCCTGCGCCTGTTCCAGCGAACCCGTCCGTGAACGGCAGCCATGACGCGGGAGAGGCACCAACCAGACGTATTTTTGGATCCCCTTCTCCCGTTGCGTCAAATCGTCGCCAAACATCTGGCATCATGAATACATCTCGGCAAGGACTGTCTGCAGACGTTGATTCTGCCAGACCAGAGGATGGCGACGTCGAGCGCTCTCCATCTACATCGAATTCACTTCGCCCTAGAACGGGTAAACGGGTTCTTCGTCCTACAACGGGGCAGACATTGCGGCCAAGCAGGCAAAAGCCCTACCATAAAGATGGGCAGCCGCAGCCAGTGGCAAGTGCATCTCTTGGCCCAGTCCATTCATCAAAAGTATCAAAAGCCACCGGAAGGAAAAGGCCTGGACCTCGGCGGCGGCCGAACACCCCCCAAGGGGTGCCCCCGGGTGGCCCGCCGTTGTTGTCTGGCCCAGGGGTTGCTGGACCGCTGCCCCAGGCTGCTAGCGTACCCCCACGAAGAAGCAAACGGCTACAGCCGCCAGAACCTAGCATAGCTAAAGGCCCGACCGGGATTACTTCTGCAGATTCACTAAAGAGTATAGCCCAGTCAAGGCCGAAGCGGAAGGCTGCAGGCAATCCGATATCCATGGTCTCAGCGAAACCCCAGGGAATATCCAAGAGACAGCGGTCAAGTACAACACGGGGAAAGGCGAGAAAGGGATAGCAATTAGATGGTAGCTCAATTCATTCTTTTAGACGAGTGATGTACAGTATCTACTATAGTGACTTGACTATCACATTGCTCAGGGTAGTCTAAAAACAATATCAGTGAAACTTCCGCCTCTCGTGACAGCCTCTCCGTTAGGCAACCATTCCTCCCCTCCTAGCTCGGCCAACTCGTTATGCTTCCGCATTATTACTTTCAGCCAGTTACGTCGGCTTTGTCATAACAACCCTCCTTAGCAGACCCGCGCATACCAGGATTTTTCTTCTGCTGCCATCGTCAGGCTGTCAGTGCGATTCCCGAAGCAGGGCATGTAATTTCGACGGCACTCTCATGGACCTTGCTACTGACTGAGGTGAAATGATAGGTGGGGTCCCAGAGTGGAGCGCTGACTCTTTACATGCTGGCTGTTGCCTTGTCCGGATGAATGAAGTACAAGGGGAACCATTGATTTCGATGCCACATGACATAATTGGAAGTTATACTCCTTTTAAGGATCATGACTGGTAGATCCTGGATCGCAGTCTCATG